TAACAAAAACCTATTCACTCTTGCCTAATAGTACTAGGAAAGTATTATTTGCGACCTGTTTGTGTGTGTGTGTGTGTGTGTATGTGGGTGTGTGTGTGTGTGTGTGTGTGTGTGTGTGTGTGTGTGTGTGTGTGTGTGTGTGTGTGTGTGTGTGTGTGTGTGTGAAAAAGCGTAAACGTGTGAAAAAATACGTGAAGAGGAATAAAGGTTGTGTACTAATTCGCTTACCTGTACGAGGTTGCCACTCGAGGACCTTTCTTCCTATTTTTTATCTGTTTTCCAAGTTATATAACCAGCCCACTGCCATTTCACTGTAATATTCCGTTGGGCTATGTCAGTTACTCTGGTTCTAATGCAAATATCTTCATTTCTAACTTTATCACGTAGAGAAACCCCTCTCCAATGTAAATTTTTTACATTTTTTAGATGATAGTTTGTCTAACATAAAAAAAAACCCATAAACCCAAGAATGTCTTTATATAGTTATTTATAATTAGGTAAGCACCATTCTTTTATTTATTTAAATTGTTTGATTTAATTTGATAACAGTGTACCTAAATGTAAGTATATGTATCTTTATTTCCTTTTTTTTTTTTTTTTTTTTTTTTTTTTTTTTTTTTTTTTTTTTAGGATCGGGCGTCGACGAACGTCGTTGAACCACGTCTGACTCAGGTGGTCTAGAAGTGGTACAACTACACTACTCCGGAGAACCTTTTTATTGGAAACGAGGCATTACATCTTAGTCCTCACGGGTGACAACGCATCTACATTTTGATACGTAATCGAGAATAGATGTAGATGTGTAACATCAGGTGGACTGTGTGCTCGTTTGTCACCCTTATTCTATTAAAAACAACTTTCAGAGATTTCAGTTAAATAATGTTAAGTATTGTAAGCACTCGTACAATTATGTCTCATGTTAATAAAGCTATTGGGCTATTTTGATTTGTAATAAAGTGATTTTACTTTATAGGTTAAATAATTTATTTACCTTTCTATATCAAGAACCGTTTTTCTGTCACTCCTATTGAATTTGACAGTGCTTGCTGAAATTTAGCATCTTTAGATGGATCAGAATCGCGCGCTGATCCGGCTATTAGATATTGCAAAAATAATCGAAAATATTTATTTTTACTTTCATGCCGAAGACTACCTTGTTTTATTTTATTACGGTCAAATAATATTTATTAGGTTATAAAGCAAGTATTTTTGTAAATGTTGTGTATGTAAATGTAAATGTTTTCATTATTTTGTTACTCTATTGTTTACAGTTATTATCACGTCTTAGCTTTACACCAAGAATTACATTAGAAGTTCTTGATGGGATGCGATGTAACGCGCATACATTATTTTCATCAAGAACTATAATATATATATTTGGTTTTTTTTTACCAGTAGAGTTTCAACAAAATCTTAAAAAAGTTCAATGAATTAAAAAAATGCCAATACTTATATAATTTCAAGTCAGTGTTTTACATTTAAAGATCAGTTATAAAGAGCCAAAGTTATTATTTTCATTTTGATTAATTTAATTCGCGACTAAAATAAATGTGAAAGGGCTTTTATCTGCAATAATAATTTTTGTCAAAAATAACATAGACTTATAAAAACCATATACACGGTCAATCATACTGAAGATTATCAATTGTACTACAAAATATTTAAAAGACTATTTCCAGTATAATGACACGAATATCATCCTTAATGTTTGACTGGCACACTTAAAAGTTTTATCACATGGCTAAATGATTGACTTTTATATTATGATAAGGTCATGCTTTTCTATAAAAAGTTGCAAGAAATTTTAAATCACGTACCTATTGGTTTGTTTTACTTTTTAATTAGTGAAAAACAAGATGGACTGATCTAAAAGTTTACTTTCTTGTGTAAAAAGTGCTATTTAGAATTTTATGCAAATGATAATTAAAGTTTCTATGTAAATAAGTGTAACATAGCGGGTATTATATTCAATGGTAGCGCCCATCCATATTTGCAAAGCCAGCATGATTTTCTGTACAAAAACCGGCAAAGTGTTGCTCAAGGCACTATAAACAAAGCAGCTGATAAAATGTTACACTCATAACTATTAACAGAAACTGTTCCCGCAAATGGTCTTATAGATAATAATAACTATTCCGCCGTGTTAGGTGCAGGAGCTATTATTAGAAGGAGAAGAAGTATAATTTTGTTTTAGAAATGCGCAATCAATATTGTTTTGTCTGCAATTGAGCATAAAATAAAAAATATCTTCAGCCAAAGAGCATAACTGGAATTATACTCAGGCCCATCAATTGGTATGGAAAAAATTAATTTTACCAGGTTTCAAAAAATCAATCAAAATTCAAAAAAAAACATAAATATTAAAATAAAAAAATGTATATATGTATGTCTATACATACATATAATGATTTATGGCCGCTTAGTAACTGACGGTGACTGACTATAACATCCTACAGTCACGCCGAAACTAAGAGGAGAGAATCACTGTAGAAAAGGTAATAATTTATTATGGAAATTTTGTGATAAATTTAAAAAAATTATAAGCTTATCCAAGTTAATCTAACTTAGTCTAACTTATCCTTATGCGTTACAAAAAAAAAACAAATAATAAAATAGTGAGATGGCGTCAGTTTTTAAGAAGATATAACCAAAATAAACAAAAAAATAAATTTCAAAAAAGTTCAGTATTTGATCGATTATATACCGCTGACACTTAATCACGATTTTCGAAACCACGCCAGTTGTAAACAATACTTGTGTGAAAAGACAAAATCTTCGTTTCAAATTTCCGCCGAGTTGTAAGTAGAAGGCCAAATAGGTCATGTGTCAATTTTAATTGAATATATTTTATATGAAATGATCTTGACTACGTTTCTTCAATTAACCTTTGGTAAAAATTAAAACAGGAATTTTTCAATTGTGTTTACAAAAAACATTATTAGTTGAACCTTGCAGCTTGGTCATTATTTTTATTATAAATACCTATAAATGTATATATTATTAATAAATAGTTCCCATAATATTTTGGATTATTTTTTATTTTGCCCTATCTGTAATGTTCTACGCTCTGTAGAAAATGTGGCTTATGATATGACTGACAATCTTTCGAACGTTTTATCTAGGTACAAAGATGTTTTACGTTTTCGTCGCATCCACATGATATTTTTGTCAGCATAAGGTACCCTTCTATATCTATAACGAATATAAATATTGCTACAAAGTAAAGTAATAGGCTATACAAGTCCCTCTACTGGGCACAGGACTCTTTTTTTTATTTCTGAGAAGGTTTTAGGGCAAGGAAATGCCCGCCTTGCTTCCCCAATGCGTGTTGACGAAAATTGCAATTACAAATTTCATTCGTGCTGTCGGGGTTCAAACCCGGGAAAATTTACAGTGAACGCTTTGACCCAGATCTACTAATACGATACAAATAAATACGATTTAACATATATAATAAAAAAACTCTTACGTACTTGAAACTTGAACACTTGATAGCTCGTGACGCCTACCGGACAAAGCTATATCACAATGTAATTGAAGATGCGTAACCGCGACATAATTCTCAGTGATGCGCAAGCATAACAGGCAGTATGTCACTTATATAATTGCCATCTCTGCAGTCTATTAATCTTTGCACTTTTATAAGTAATACAGAACGTAGTTGCTAGACGGTGTTGACTTCGGCTAAAATCTCTGCGATCGCCGTTTCGTCAAGGTCATTCAGGCTAGTTAAAGCCTTAATCGATAAGTTCAACAATCATTTAACTTTCTGACATTGTGTTTTTTATATCATTTATGTGTACAATATGATTGTTAGATACGATTTCATGCGACAAAACGTTGGCATCTTGATTTTTGGGCCCTAGTAGAACATACTACGCGCTTTGCGCTTAAGGCATGCAATATTATGATAATTTTTTTTTCTCATCTACAATGGAAACATACCAGCTTCCGAACGCATGGCATAGCTGTTATTTGTGACACTGTAATATTCCGCAAACAGAAAGCTTGTGTTTAGAAACTAAAGCAATCTTGTCGAGATAAAAATATATAAAGACTACAAGACCAATTATTTGCATCTAGCGAAATAAATATTTTCATATTATATTACATGTGTTAAGGTATGGTAGTTCACCTTTTCGATACTTGAGGGCGCTGTACAAAAGGTAAATCGCGATGTTGACGTGTAAAGCAATTAGATCATAGGCCACAAGAATATAATTTATTTTGTATATATATCTACGTGTTAATATACCATAAGTACATACGTTGTGGTGTGTTTTATTAACTTATCCCATCGTAAGCCATTTCGGCAAGTAGTACAGTGCTAATACAAACAACATGCCAATTAAAATATTCATAAATATTGTTTAATTTAAATTGCTTGTCGTCTTCAGGCACTACGGTTTTGTAATTAAAAAATTTGCTAAGGAAAAAATTATTAGGGAGGATAAAATGAGCTGAAGCACAAGGACCTCCATAATATCAACAAAAATATAAAATAATATAAAATCAAAAATGCCTCAAAATCAAAAATTATTGGTATACTGCAAAATACAATTTGGTGGTGGTCTTGTTCACAAAAATTCATTTGGAGCCTCCATTTCTTGTTTCTCATCATGTTTAACCCAATCCTAAGTATGTTGCGCTTAAAAAATAAAGACTGACTGATAGCTCTCAACAACTTATATTTTTATGATTTCACGATAAACACCTGTGCCAAGAAGAAACAACGTAATAAAGATTGTAGGGCTATCTAAATATTTCTGCCGTCAAACAGCAGTGGATTCCTGTTTTGATTTGCAGGGTAAGAGAACCAGTATAATTACAGGCAGTGAGATCTTCAGAGGTGACAATATATCAGTGAAACCCCTTCTTTGACAACAACAGCAGGTGCCCACACGCCGCAGTAGTATAAGGCGAAAAATTGAACATAGTCCTTCAAGCCGGATGTCGGTGGACATATTTAAAATTAAAAATAAAGCAATGCGCGGGCTCACCCTCTGCGGTCTCGTAGTGGTCGAGCAGCCACTGCACGGTGGCGGGCGGCATGCGGTGCGCGGGCGAGGGCGATGCGGGCGCGTCGGGCTCGGCCGCGCCGCCCGCGCCGGCACCCGCGCCTGTCCCCGTGCCTGCGCCCGTGCCCTCCCCCTCCCCCTCGCCCGCACCGAACGTGAACTCGGCCGCCCAGGCGCCCTCGGGCGCGGCCTCCACGCCCACGCCGGCGCCCACTGCGCCGCCGCCCACGCTCGCCACGCCGTACACCGGGTACGAGCGCAGCGGCTCCCTGTCGGCATCGCACACCATAATTGCACGAGCAAATCGTTTTGCTCTACGCTAGTTAAATGATGAGCTACTTAAGCATTAGTTTTGAGTTGGTACTATGTTTCGTATTATTCAAACAATGTGAATGTCCCCTTTCAAAAGGTACATTCAATTCTATGATGTTGTTATGCAACTATTTCTATTTAGTACAAATTGCACACCAAAACCGAAGTCATACGTAAAATGTAATAACCAACCACATTGTATTTTCATTTACTTTTTTTTAATATATTTACAATTAAATTCAATATATACTATAAATCAAAATTTAAATTTTCCTACATAAAAATGAAACAGTCAATAAAACCAAGTTGCATAAAGACCTAGATAAAGTAACTTCAGGTTTTACCGTATAACAGCGACACAAATATTACCCTACCTCATCCTGCTCTAGAAAAAAAAATGTATCTTCCTGATAACAATATGACTCAACTCATATTTAAAAAGGTTGTTAAGTGTAAAGAAAGCGTTATGAGGATGAAGTATTCGACATGCATAACAAACATAATATATTCTTGTCTGGTAACGATGCGCTTTTAACTGACAACGTTTTGTACTCGATAGAGCTGTGCTGCAGATATATTATCGTGGTTATATTAGGCTCGATCGGGGGTAGCTTAAAACTGATGTGTTTTGGTATGGTGAGTGTAGAGAACCGGAAAATATTTTTTATTGGAAACGAAACATTCCATCTTAGTCCTCATAGGCGACAACGCATCTGTATTTTGTTTCTTAATCGAGGATATCTAATTCACTTACCATCAGATGGGTGAGCTCGTTTGTCACTCTTATTTTTTTTAAAGCAAAACACAAACCACAAAGCACTCTATCCTTAATTGTCATGACAACGCATCTGAATTTCGATTCTTAATAGATGATAGATATAGGTGTCTATGAGCCACAACGTCCACCTACTATGAAGTGGACTGTGTGCTCGTTTACCGATAAATATACTATACTGATAAACTAATTGTATGAGGTGATTCTAATAATTTAATTAAAAGTTGGTGCAGTGCGGTGTAGTCACTATCAGCTTCTTATTTGGTGACTAACTGTAAGTAATTTTTTTTTAACTTCATATTCGATTTTAATAAAAACTTAATCAGAACATAAAATTTGACACACAGAGACATCGTTTTAAAAATACCAATGAACATTATAGACCGTAAATCGTGAATGTAAAGATTGAAACTTTCAAATAAGTTGCAAATGCAAAATTGAAAACGTTATCTTCATCGTCATTTAAAAAGTTAAGACGGAGCTGATTGTCGTTCCTAAAATGCCGTCCCCTAAAATCTGCCACAATTTCAATCTGGCCAACCTCCATGCTACGGCCACTGTCTTGCAGACTGTTATTATCGTAAGTAAATATAGTCATTAATATCAAAATAAAAGCGATTCTTACATATGAGTCTGGTGGGTCTGCGTATAAATCTCCTGCGGCTCCACATACTGCACGTGATAGTTGACTCCATTACCTCCCTCACCTGCGAAGTAAAAAAAAAAACAAGTATTAAATAAAATCATTATAATAATATTTTTAAAGAAAAACTGTTAGGAAAATTTAAGTGTAATACATAGTAACAAAATATCATCGAGTTTTATCATTTGCTGAAAACCTTAAATTTGATGTTAGTAATAAAAAATATAATAAGCAACATTTCTTTCAGATTCTCTTTCGACAGAAAGAACTCATAATGGTTGTTTAAATTTTACGGAAAATTGGGGACAACGTCCTTGACTATATGAAACTTTGTTCTTTTTAATAGATTAATAATGCAATTGAGGTAGCTTCTTACACAGACGTCTAGATTAATGGCCAAAAAAACACGACACTTACCGGCGGTCTAGCTAGAAATAAAATACGTTTCAAAGCAATTGCGAAACTAATTACTTTACAATTCTAAGTTACGCCAATACAGATTGAGTTGAAACAATATCTCGGCTCTTCTGTCTGGATAGACCAGATCGAGACAGGGACTGAAACAGGGGGGCAGAACTTACATGAGAAATAGGATCGGTAGCGAGGCACCTCCATACCGACGGAGATCTCCCGGGCAACTCGCCTCCGGACGCCAGAATCCCTCCCCTTTGCTCTGTACCGCGCCCCTCTACCGCCTATGAGACCCTGTTACCTCACCCCACCTGTTAGCTATTGTCACAACTTTGCAATATAAGAAACACACCCCCCGGTTTATATACAAATACGCGAAGGTCCTTTGTTACACTTAGTACATAAGCATTATTTTCATACAAATATATATATATATTCCAAATTGACTTCTTCGTACTATCGGAATGGAAGTTAAGCAGTAAATCAACACTGAAAGTTGGTATTAGTCTTAAGCGTAAGGTTATTTCATAATTGCATTATTTTTTAAATAAATCTAACTCAATCACATCTGACTGAAATGCATATGCGACGACCGACGACTGTGAAAATATACTATTTCTATGAAACTTGATTTTGGGAACAGAATAAGGGTGACAAACGAGTACACAGTTCACCTGTTGGTAAGTGGATGCTGTGGTCCATAGACATCTACATTTTTCCTCGATTAAGAATCAAAATACAGATGCGTTGAGATACCTCAGGAGTGAGAACTAATAAAAAGTAGTAAAAAGGTTCTCTACACTCACAATAGGAAACACAGCAGCATTGAGCTGGCAGAGCCTTCTTACTGGAAACGAGGCATTCTATCTTAGTCCTCACGGATGACAACGCATCGGCATTTTGATTCATAGCTGAGGATGTAGATGTCTATAAGCCACAGAATCCACTTACCATCAGGTGGACTGTGTGCTCGTTTGTCACCCTTATCCAATAAAAAAACCTGTCGACTATATTTCAAAAGAGATAAATATTTGTAGCTAGCAGTATATTTTAGCAGCTTTATTATTAACTAGTTTTAAAAAAAGATCCAGACAAAATATTTTGATATCTTATTTACTTTAGCGTATAAATGAATAGAATGGAGAGAAAACAATTTTAATTATGATAAGTTTTATATTATTGCTTTTACCAAATACATATTATTATATTAATGGGTTTGTTGATTATATGATTTCCTATATTTACGCGAACACTAAACATTGAATAAAACCGTTCCGAAACGTCGGGAATTAAAATTAAGTAGAATTAAACGCGATAAAATCCGTAAAAGTAGTTTTATTCAATTATGCTGCTACGTCACGCTAGTATTCTGTGCGAGTGTGGTCCTTATGTTGCATCGTGATCAATCTACCACGTCCATCCATTTGTCCAACTATTATAGCCTATAAAAGTTCAATGCTGAACTGAGGCCTCCACTATAGGGGGGATTTGCCATTGCCACATGTGGAAGGCGGGTTGGCAACCTCAGTTTTATTTAATTATTTTAAGTTGTTATCAGAAAGACGCTGCTACAAATCTCCCGTTTCAGTTTCTCTCCGTCGCCTTTTACGATATGAGGTAGTGGATATTCTTACACAAGTACAAGTACTACACGGTTATCCACCACTTAACAAATAATAATAATATTTCAAAACGTAACCATTCAGAAATAGCTTCCGAAATCTAGGAAAAGATTTTACATTATTTATTTATTTATTTCATTTTATAGAGATAACATACATTGATATATTATAATAAAACAAATTTTAAAACCAAAACAACATTTAAATGATTTTCCATATTACCTGAAACACTTTGTTCACATTCTCATTACTATTAAAGAGAGGGCAATAACAACGTTTTCTAGCTCGCGTGAAACTACGCCCCAAAAATAAAATTCAGGAATCGCATATAACGTGCGTAAGGAAAAGATGGCGGTAAGTCATCCAGTTTGTTTATGAATTTTGCGACATTGATAAAAATGAATTTTGCCTATAATTAGTACCTAGTGCTGAACGAAACACAACAATAGTAGCAAAGTGCTAATTTACTAATTTCTGTGAAAACGTGGTCGTTCCCCGGTCGAGCGGACCCATTCGTGCTACAGCTATAATATTATTGCTGCAGCATGGCTCTACCACACGTATAAAAGTTTCGTCTATTACTTACATTTTGAATCACAATTAATACCATCATATTATTCGCACATAAATCATAAATGTTTCACAAATCGTTGAATAGATTCTAGCCTATAGATTTAAATAGATATTGTGATTTAAGTAAAATTATGTGAAAATAATTCTGTACCTTCAGTGAAAAGTGATACAACTCGACCTATATCAATTTTGATATTTTTGAACTACGTTAATCAGAAAAAAAATGGCGTTTTTTTTCTATTCAATCCTCATTCTTCTACGAATTATAATTGGAGAGATACATTTGGTGTAAATTAATATAACTAAGTAGTTTTCACTATAAGCAATGTGTAAAATAATGTATTTTAAGTCATCCTAAAATGAACTGAACTGATTTTTCTTGTTAGTTCCATGCATAATAATACAACTCTTATAAACTCCTATTACACGATCAAATTATACCGATCTGAATTTGTGCATATTAATACAATTGTTCAAAAATCAGTATACATTAAATACTTACATTAATAATGTTTTGTGAAATGTGACACAATTTAATTTAAAGCAACTAATGAAAATATTACTTTGATGTAAATATGAGTCTAATAATACAACTTTAAATAAATCAATTTACCACTCTAATCCCAAGAACTTTTTACGGCAGGTTAATTTGACTTATATCAATATAAACTTTATTTTCGAATAAATGTTTAATAATACGTTTACATTTATAACTTTTATAGGAACGGTTTAAAAAATAATTTTACGTGTAAAGTGGTACGAATCAGTCGACTCCCTTAACCTATCTCTGGCACCGGTAGCATAAAACGGGATACATAATGATTTCTTATATTTACGCCAAGACTACACATTAAGTGAAGCTAATTTATGTTGTAACGTATAGCCGACTTGAAGTACCGACGTTCCGGGAAGTCTGCAGTGTGTGAACATGTTCAAGATCGTCCCCGCCATTACATTACATTTGATAGACCACAAATCCTCGCAAAAGAACACCGATTCCTACCATAGATGATTCGCGAGGCTTTTTTTTTAATTTGAAAACAATTTCAATAGAGAAGATGTATGGGTGCTGCCATCTGCTGGGGATCCTATAATTAATAAAATTAAATCCAAACCCAAGCATACCACTGCAAGACTTTAAGATACTATAAGCTCATTCTGCGTAGATCGAAACAAAAATTAATATTCAAAAACTGAAGGTAGCCAGGCTAACTATGTCATCGGGACATCAAACACCTCATTCCCCCCGTGACTTTATCCCCGGGAATTAAAAGTTAAATTAAACGCGATAAAATACGTAAAAATTAGTTTCATTTAATAGAACGGGATAAATATATTGTGACTGGGTATGTGCCAACAGCCTTATTATGTATTCTGACTCGTTTTCTGGACTCGTGGGCAGGATAGAAATTCTTTAGTTTGCACAGCGTTATTGTTAGCAGTCAAATAATCACAACAGATTTCAGTCATAATTCATAAGTTTCTGATACCACACACTTGGAGGTAGATAGTGACCAAGCGCTTATTGAAAAAGCAAAAAAGAAAACTTCTATGAATATTCATCACCCCCGAGATTGGTTTCAATTGGTAAGAACTGTCTTTTTTTATATGATAGGGTGACAAACGAGCACACAGTCCACCTGATGGTAAGTGGTTGCTGTGACCCATAGACATCTACATCTATCCTCAATAAAGAGTCAAAATGCAGATGCGTTGTCACCCGTGAGGACTAAGATGGAATGCCTCTTTTCCAGTAAAATGTGTCTCCGGTTCTCTACACTCACCATACGAAACACAGCAGCGTTAGGCTGCTATTTTACGCTGGTATTCTGTGAGAGCGTGGTCCTTCCCCGGTCGAGCCGACCCATTCGTGCTACAACTATACTACTACTAATATAGCTGCAGCATGGCTCTACTGCGGAAAAATCACCATCACCACCACCACCACGTAAAAATTACCACGTAAAAGTCTCTAATAGAAATAATAAATTTTCCGTTATCGAAATGACGGAAAACGATTTTCTTGACTTTGCCCACTTTTCAACACATGATTTTTTGATTAAAAAAAGTGTAATACCGTGGGTCGGAAATTCGTGTGGTCAGATGTAAAAAGTATGAAGTTCACTAAAGGTCAGTTTTCAGTTGTTGAATACAATGAAAGTTACGGCAATGAAGATTACCACTTAATGTCTTACAGCAAAAAGAATAAAAACTACAACTTTGTTAACATACATTCTATTCAAAAATGTTATAAAGCTGGTCCTTTATAACATATTTGAATGTCTTTTAGCAAGCAGAAAAAAAAGATTTACTGTCTCTCTTAGATTATATTGATCCAAGTGTTTATGATTACTATCGTAACCATAGACTTAGAATATACTACGCCAGTATATTCTAAGTCTATGATCGTAACTTACCGACTAATGTTAACTTACGTGATATTGATCCTGATATTTTA